CAGCTGGAGAAAACACACAGATCCACACACACACAGATCCACACACACAGAGCAGTACTTGCTCCCATATGTGAGAGGGGAAGTTGAGTGAGAGGGAGGGATCAAGTAACTTTAAGCAGCTCCCCACAGCCACACACAGTTGTTTTCTCTGATCACTCTGCAGGTGAGGAATTCTCAAATCCAGAAAAGAGACGCGAGCAGCCCCCCACCCTCCGGCTCAACCCTGAGACCCCCGGACGCTGCCGCCGYGGGATGCTGCAACCATTCAGGAGAAGTGAGGAAGAGCAATGAGAGGAAAGATAAACCTGGAGGAGCAGGACAACTGAAAGGGACAGAGGGATTGCCTGACATGCGCCTGGATTCCTGTTTAAACTCTTGAATTCTGTATTTGCTCCTCAGTTTTGTGCACATTTGGAGACTAAGAGCTTTTCAACAGGTTGATGTTGAGAGGTGTTTATAATATATCTCRCAGGAACTGGAGATTTTAGTCGTTTTTATTTTTAATTCATCAGACTTTCTACTAGCTGACATTCTTTTCRGACATATTTTCACCTTTTATATCTACTTGGAATAACAAGAATCACTTTCAGAGAAAAAAATACAAGAAAAAAATGGTGCTTTAAGTGTCTCTCATATWTTACACCATCAGAATAACTCAGAAGGATATCTTAAGATTCCATGCAAGTGCTGAACAATTTGGATTCTGCAGGGGGACCATCTCARCCAGTCTGGACTGTGGAGGGCTCCCCTCCCTGCCTTAGCCTTTCCTCACCCCCAGCAGCATGTCCCAGGCTCTGAGGCTGCCTCTAGTCCTCCTCACAGCACACTACCATGATCAGATGGGCTGCTGGAAGGAGTAAGGCTGCCTTTGCCTCGTTCCGCTCCTGGTCTGGCTCAGGAGCTMGTTTTGCCTCTGGGTCCAGCTTCGGGCCGAGGCCGTCAACACTGCGTTCCTCCTCGTCTCTCCCTGTCCTKCTCACACTCGTGGTTCTCTCCCTGTCCCTACCTGAGGCCGCCGGCCACCAGCCCCGCAGAGACAGAGCGAGGCCCGCCAACCTGCAGACATTCGAGGCTCCACTGAACCTCTCGAGGTCTGAGTTGATCTCTAGACCCCGGGCCACCAGGGGCCCCCCGGGTCGGGGGCCGCAGGGCAGACATGTGCGCAGCTACAACCACCTACAGGGGGACATTCGGARGAGAAAGCTGTTCTCTTTCCAGAAATTTTTCCTGAGGATTGATAAGAATGGACAAGTCAATGGAACCAAGAGCAAGGATGACCCCCTCAGTAAGTAAYGCTGAYAAATGTGTAAAAATAGATAAAAGTAAGAAAAAAGATTATGAAAAAAATATTAATTATGGCTACTTAGACAGTCAATTTCTTTTTACTTATAAGAAACTTGTAACATATAAGCTAAAAGCTTTTGCTTTTTATAGGATTAGGAAGTTACAAATAAGGAAACAAATTGATTGCTTTATGTCAGCTTTTTATTATTTTTGATTTATAGATTTCATGTGTTCAAATATGCATTTTTGACTAAAAATGCATCAAGTCCGCATCTAAAACTGTTATAATAACTAAAAAAATTTCAGCTTCCTCTCTGCTCATTTGCTTAGAAGTTTGTAAGAATTCCCAGTTTGGGTTGTCCTTTTGTTTTAAACCAGACATCTGACCGATATCTCTCCTGTCCAAACACTCAGCACAATGATGGGAGCTCTCAGATGGTTTAAAAAGGAGCAGGAGCAGATAACTCGGCCATTATCAGGCAGTCTTCACAGCCCAGAGTAAACAGAGCTGATAAGAGCCACAGGAAAACAGGGTCGGAGCAGGAGAGGGTGGAGGGGGGAGTATTTGAACGTCAGTCTCATTGATGCATTTAGGCCCATTTCTCCTCTTTTTTCCCCTTTTTTTTTTGTTCCTCCATCACTCTCTCACTCAGATTATCCCTCTGCCAGCCCATTTCTGAGCAAATTGCATCCCTTCAACCCCAGCTCAGACATTTGTTTGACGTTTTCACCCAGAGAAACATGTCGTTAAGTGATTACACGTTGTTTGTTTCACCGTATCAGTCAGCAAAAATAGCATTCCCATTTGTTAGCCGGCTACAGCTACGTGTGTGTGCCCAGCAGCCGCCATGCGGGCTCGCACATGCTGCAGTGGGTGTGTGACCGCATAGTAGCCRACACGTGCTCCCTTGTTCGCAATACGCACGCAGTTTATACATCTTTTCATTGTACGGTGCTTCGTCTCGCCGTCTCAGAACTCTTGCAGCCTGGTTTTAATGCGCCTCCTGGGATGGCCGGACGGCACATTCAATCAAAGTGACTTGAGGGAAATGGCACGGGGAAGCAGAACATCAGGGGAGATGTTTGTTTGGACAAGGTCGTGACAGAAAGAAGCTTCTTTCTCCYGACCAAAGTGATGCCTTTACTGCCACTTTTGTCAGCGGTTTCTTTCAAGTCGTAAAAGCCGAAGCGGTGCGAGGAATCCTGGCTCAGTTTGTGTGAATTCAACCTAAAGTTTAGGTTTTGTTTGGAGGGGTGATTTACTCCTCCGTCTTCGTTTTGCTTTTTTAGGAGTTTTCTGTGAATTGAACGGGCGAGAAGGGAGGTGAAAGGGAGACTCTCTAGAGGTACAAGTTCATGAATGACCTGACATCATTGTGGCCACATCAAAGCCGCGCATCTTCGGTATCAATGGTGGTGCCATGAAAAAGCTGTGTCCTGAGGGGATCTGGGGACACTGTGTGTGGACTCTGAGCCCACATATCAGGTTCACATGGTAAAGAATACTACACAACAGCAGCTCCAGTCTTTGCCCTGACCCCTGGGGCTTAGACATGATCCCAGATCCAGCATCTATTATGGACCCCTCATGGTCTGTTGAAGAAACAAAATATCAAGTTTTTTTTCTAAAAGGATTGTGCGTATTTTCTGACAAAATACATTATTTAAAGAATATTAGAAATTAAATCTTTGTTTAGAGCTGATTTAGATGTGCAAAGATCAGGTTCTGAGCGCTACGTTTGGCCTCGCAGAGACCCGACTCCCTGTCTGTTACCGAGCCAATATCCAGCCTCCCACAGATTTATGGGGATGCCTGTGTAAAACTGTCCCACATGGCTTTCCAACCCGCCGGGGGCCTGGTGCTGAGGTTACAGAAAGGCAGCGAGAAAAGGAGGGAGATTATCCCAAAGTCAGCTAAGTAGCTATCTGAGCGGTTTGAGTGCGCAATTAAAATATCTACGAATCACAGCTGAGCATTTTCAAAAGCAACTTTGTGCAACGAGTGAAATGTTGCCAAATCCGACTCAAATATGGTGTTGTGCTGTCAGGACGGTGATGCAGGACATGTGTTTCATTGAACTGGATCAAGAGATGTTTTATTTTAGCTGCAAGGAGGCATCCCTGTGTAATTGTTCTTATTTAGTCAAAGCCTTGGAGGGCCGAGGAGGCAAATGTGTAGCTTTTTCAGGCCGAATCTCCCGTCTGAATAAACTGCRCGGTCTTTATCATCTGTTAGTACACTACATCCTGATTTAGAAGCCGTTCTGCTCTATTTTAGTTCATGGAAACGGTAACAATCAAACCTCATATTCTGACTTATCTGTTCTTATCTGTGCAGACCAGAGCCAAACAGGGAGTGAGAAACGAAAAAAAATCCTACAAGCTGCAAAATGCATGTTTTCTTTTTCCTCCTCCTTGGCATCCCACAGTGGAAAAACCACCTTTAAAATCGCACTAACTCCAAACAGAGCACGTCAAATGAGCCACACGTTATAGGAAAAAACAACAGGAATTCAAAGAGGGGGGGAAAAATGCTGTCTCCCTTTTGTAAACAGCTGAACACGCGGCTGGTTCACTTGAGGAAACATTTTACAAGTGTGGCATGCAAAAATGTTGCCACACATTTTTCAGTTATTGTTTTCAGTTTTACCTTTTTGCATTTATTTATTCTTGCAATCATCAGCTAGTTTCCGCGCAATTTGAACAACCTTAATTCCAATTGTGACATGGTACAAAATGTAAAACAAAAGCAATTTTACAATTTCCAGCTCCCATAAACCCCAGTTAAGTCAAAAGAAGAAATAGTACTAAATTATTTTTTTTTTTTTAAAAAAGGTCATTTTAAATTTGATTAAAGCAAAACATTTTAGAAAGTTGGGAAAGGGGCAACAAAAAGCTGTAAAAGTAAGTGATCCAGTGAAGGAGGAGCAGCAGGTCAGGAAGAGGACTGGGTATAGAAATWACTTTTTAGAGATGAATTTCTCAGGAGTAAACATGGGCAGAGTGTGTAAAAACTGTATTTATGAATAATGGGGAAATTTTGATCATCTCTTCATCTACAGTTCACAATTTACAGGAAGGGTCYGAAGTTTGAAACCCAGTTTGGACCTGGGGGTCTTTCTGTGTGCAGTTTGAATGTTTCTCCTGGGACCATCCATCCTGTTACCAGTGCATGAAAAAATCTGCCTCTCTGATGGTATAGGGGTGTATTAGTGCTTCTATGAAAAGGCACAGTCGATGCAGAAAAGTAACAGGTTTAAGGRCAGTGTATGCTTCCATTTAGCAGCAAAGACAGCTAGAAGTCCATATCAGACAAGAATCAAACATTTCCCCCAAAAAACATCAGCAGCTGCTCTCAGTTCTGAAACGTTTGCAGGCTTTTGTTAAAAAAAGATGGGTTGCTTCACAGTAGGAAACACGCCACTTGTTTAACTTTTTAAACTTGTTTTGCTGCCATAAAATTCCAAATTATCTTTCTAAATGCTACAATATGATGATTTTCTGGGTTTATTTTTTTATTTACATTTTTTACACATCTTAACTTTTTTTTTGGTGGGAGGTGGGGTTAGGGTTGTAAACCAAGCTGAGCTTTGAGACATTGAGAAGCAAACAACAAACAGATTTATTTTTAATCCTCTCAGCAAGTTTGCGAGTTGAGCACAAGCGCACATTCACCTGCTGTGTGTGCGTGCGTGCACCTGTGTGTCCGCGCGTGCGCGCGTGTGTGTATATACAACCTGTCTCGCCCCTGCCTCCGGTGGCTGACTTTGATCAGTGATCATTACAGCCTTTCTAATCCTCCCTCCACCCCCAGTCTCACTGTCATGGCTCCTCTGTCCTCCTCTGTTCTCCTGCCTTTCATCCCTCCCATGTTTACAGAGCAGCCGGGGACTGCTATAAGATTGTCTTACATCCTCACTCCATACCTGACACCCGATCCCTTACAGAAACCAGCTCCTCTCAGATCTTCAATGGCCGTCGTGTCACCGTCCCCAACACTGCCTCGCAGCTTCAGACCTCCACCGCCCTGAGGTGCTGCCTTTTCAACTAGAAATCAATATAGTCCAGACCTCACGGACAGGGAAAGAAAGCTGCTACATATTTAAGAGGGACTGTTTCTCTTTTTTTTTCTTGGCGATGGGGGGGATCACACCTGCATTCTCCACTGTCCACTCTCCAGGGCCCCCCCAGCTCCTCCAGAGTGGGACTGACAGTAGAGCGGAGTGCCACACAAACAGTCATCAGGACTCAGACGTGGCTACAGATCTGATCAAAGGATGTCGTTGACTCTTTGGAGTTCACGCCCCCAAGCTGGTGTGTGTGTGTGTGTGTGCCTCAACATGCGCGCTTATCGAGATAAAATAACGACAGCTCACAGGAAGAAGGGGAGAGGAAGTCAGGGAGGGCGGTGTGAAATCAAACATGCCATGGGAACCAGCAGGATTCGCTTACGAACACGCAGCAGCAAAAACACGAGACAAGTGGCTTCTGTGGTCAAAGGACACATTAGGAAGTTATATTTCTCTGACCTCTGACACCGAGACCACACAAATAATCACAGCCGTCTGCGAGGAAAAACACACGCTTGTTAGCCGGGGTATAAATTAACCTTTCGACTAACCCAGGAGAAGCCTGAATTATTTGCACAGGGGGACTCGGAAACCGAACCTAAACAACCTGGGGAATCTCTCTGGAATCCACCTATTAATTTTCCAACAAAATGAGCAGTGCAGCTGGAATTTGTTACACAGGTGTAGGCTGTAAAATAGCTTTAAAACATCACCGAAAATGATGCATGTGCTCAGAAATAATCACAAYCTCATGAAGAGTGGCCACTTAACGGTAAACGCTGTAAAAATGCAATGTGCTGCTTGTTATTTTATCCTCAAAAAAAGTGGATTTCTTGGGTGAGCCTGGAATACATCARCCATTTTTGRTGATTGACACTTTGTTTTTTGGTGAATCCTTTAGGTATTCTGGAAATCACATCAGTGGAAGTGGGAGTGGTGGCCATTAAAGGACTGAACAGCAACTACTATCTGGCGATCAGCAGGAAAGGAGAGCTGTACGGATCGGTCAGTATCACAGTCAAAGGTCAATCTGAACGCTCCACACGCAGTGATAGTGTTAGATTCTTCTGCCTTTATCTCCAGACAAACTTATCTCTACTTCTCTGGTTTCTTCCACAGCCAGGCGCGTGCACACACGTCAGCCTCTAGAAAATCTGAGCTATTTGCTCTCGAAAATTTCCAAAGACTTGCACCAGTTTCTACACCAGGGCATTTATCTAACTGCATTTTAACA